CAGTTATTCTTGTGATATTGTCTTCCTACAGAAGAGCTTTTAACCAAGGAATGTGATGCTTCTAAATGATGCTATAGGAAGATTGATTTGGGGACCATCCCTGGGTAGATGGGTGGAGAGCAGGGCTTGGAAGCCAGAAGACCTGTTTAAAGGTTGGCTCTACAGTACAGACAAGAGGTAATGGAACCTGGATAGGGGTTGATGGCTGTGGGATGGAAAGAAGGATGCAATAGATCCAAGAGATCAGTGAAGAGAGACAGAGTGAGGTAACTATGGCACTGAGAGAACAGCAGCCAACACTGGCACAGACAGGAAAGTAGGATGCTGGAGACCTGGAGCTGGTGGGTAAATCTGTAAACACGGATGAGCTCTCTGAGGTAGGAAAGATAAGGCCGATTTCAGGCAGTAAAGAACGAATACTGAAGGGAGATATCGAATTGGGCAACAGGAACAGACTACACGCATCAACTCCTTCGAGGTGGCTGATCCTTTAATTGCTGATACTTCTATAACAATTCCGAGAGGGACCAAGAGGAGACTAACCACCATGAAACAAAGAGCAAATTGGGATAACTGTCCTGGGAGACATGCATTGCCTTGTATCATCTTTGCCAGCATCTTTCTCCTTGTAGACATGGGTCCTACCCCTCCATGCAGGGTATCAGATCTTCAAGGACCTCTGGTCTTTCAAGTTTCTGGAGCCTTCACAGAATCAACCTTTGTACAGAGCCAAGAGTCAGAAGATACCACTTGCTTGAAAAGGAGAGGCATGGGGTGATGGAGGAAAGCTACAGGGTGAAATCTGGATTGAAGACAGGCTGAGTTTGTCCAACAAACTTTTAAGAATTTTGAAGTAGTTGCTAACATTTAAAAATCAGGAGATTTCAAATACAAATATATAGGTCTTTTATTCCCCTGGGAAACTGCCCATCTGCTAAACCTGTACTCTTGCAGGCAATAGGCACGCAAATAAAAATAAATCCTAGAAAAGCTCTTGGAGGCTGGGAGTAGAGGAACCCTCAAAGAAAGTATGGCCTCTGCTAAGGAGCAAGCGTGGTAGTCATCTTGTAGAGACAGTGCTCCAGAGGCCTAGAAGCAGGAGCCACCAGCTCTGCTTGGAGGAACCCAGGAAGGCTTTCCAGAAAAGGTGACTTTCCAGCTGAATCTTGAAGGATGAGTATGGAAGAATTGTCCAAGAAACGGAGGGGAATGAAAGGGTATTCCTAGAAGGTGCAGGGTAAGGGTACAGGAATCCGTGGCGTGATAGAGAAGGATGACATGTTCTTGTTGGGCCAGAGTACAGGATACAGGGTAAGGAAGGGCCAGTAAGAAAGCTGGTAAAGTAGTCTACAGCCCTATAGCAAAGATTCAGATCTACTGAATAGCTTGGGAATTGATCTGGAAAGCAAAGGGGTGCCACATGGGAGGGTAGCAGGGTTAAGTAGGGAAAGGACAGTGTCCAGATGTTGTCAAAGGCTCACTCTGGTGGCTGCGTGCAAGATGGGCTGAGTGGGGGGAGAGACTGGAGGGCTACAAGCCAACGGCTTATCGTAAGGGAGGAAGCCACTTCCTACTCCCCATCCTTGCATTTGGCAATAAAAGGGTAGCTCCCCAGCAGGCTAGGAGAAGTGCCCCCAAAGCTGAGAGAGTGGACCTGACTCCGCCAGTTCTCTTGGCTTGGAGGATAGCAACATACAAGGACATTTTTGTTGTCTCTGCTTACCAGCAAATGCACCTTTCCCACCAGGGCCACCTCAGGAGAAACCCCTCACCTGGGGGTTGCACATTCACTGCTGACTCTAAAACAGACTCAGAGCACTGTGTTTTTCTGGCAAAAAAAAAAAAAATAGCAAGGGATTTAGTCAAAGGCCTTAGATTTCAGCCTTGTTTCAGCCACCCAATAGCTCTGTGGCTGTGGATAAACCACATAAGCTTGTTGACATTTAGTTTGCTTATCAATTAAAAAAATACCAAAATTTTCTAAAGTATGAGGGTGTACCTGGAAGCACTTCACAAGCTGTAAAGTACTATATGACCAAAATCTGGTATATTTGTACAATGGATTATTATTCAGCCATAAAAAGGAATGAAGTACGAATATATGCTACCATACGGATGGGCCTTGAAAACATGATTCTAAGTGAAAAAAGCCAGACACAAGGGCCCCATATTGTATGATTTCATTTATATGAAATGTCCAGAATAGGCAAATCTATAGCAACAGAAAGCAGATTAGTAGTTTCTGGGGACTGGAGGGGGAAAGGAATGGACTTTGTGTGCTTAATGGGTATGTGGTTTCGTTTTGGGGTGATGAAAATGTTCTGGAACTAATAGATAGTGGTGATGGTTGTACATTATGATTGTGCTAAATGTCACTGAATTGTACATTTTTAAATGGTAAATTTTATGTGCATGTACATTTTATCATAATTTTTAAAATGCCAAAAGAATGTTACATGAGGGTTAATCAATCAGCCTGAGAAGTCATTGATTTTTGCATTCTATTATACATGTAAAGTCCAATCCATTTTTTGGCATTCAGAGAACTTATAAGGAGTAGGTGCATCTCTAGGAAGGAGCCTGTTTCTAAGAGAACTAGGATGGGGATGGGGGGAGGGAAGAAGGAGCTTTGGCCCATGTGAAAAGCTTCCCTTCTGGATGGTATTTGTTTCGTAGATTGCCAGTTGTTCACTCTGTTTGTATTTAAATGAAAGGAGGCTTTGAAGTGGGAGCCGCCTCTGAACAGGGCTTGGGGTTCCTGCCTCCCATGGTAAAGTTCAGACTTGTCCAGATCCGTTTGTAGCCAGAGGTTACTGTTTCTGGTGGAAAAGGCTCAAGTTTTGGTTAATAATACATTAAGGGGAAGAGCAGGAGTAAATTGGGGGGCAAGGAATGAGTTCCTCCTGGACTTGGTGTGACAAGCAGCTTTCTGATTTGGCCTTCAGAGTTAAGGAGTCTCATTTTCTCTCTATGGTCACTACATTTCATTTTATTATTAATGTTGGTTGCATCTCATATCATATGCTCCTTGGTGAAGAACATCTTTAAGTAAATGCATCAATCAATGAAAGTTTAAAGTTTAAATGAAAGTTTAAAGCCCTAGCAATGCTTTGAGGACCTGATGGTTATCAGTTTAAGGAAAACCCGGACTACTTGAAAGTCCCTTGAAAATGGCAGGAAATTCAATTGTAGTTGAGTTTGCATATTTAGAAAAACTGCTCTCCTAGTTTCAGAGTTAAATGTTCTGCCAACCCACAGAAATTGCAAGTCCCAGTTATAGACAGGTCACAATCTGTCAGTTTATGCTGATGGTCTCCAAGAGAGTTAATAAAATGTAGAAGAGTCTGCAGTGGGCATAAAAACAACAGCTCTTCATAAGCAACCATGTCAACGTGGTTTACAAACAACAGTGGAGAGAGTCTCAACAAACTCTCTGAGGGTGATAATTGTAATGATGGTTCATATCTTCACCCTATGTAATTTTATGGGAATTGAGAGTCTAGCCAAATAATAAGTTCCAGCCCTTTTTATCTGCCCAGTTCCCAGCACACTCCCGAGGTGAGGTGTCTGAGGCACTTCTCACCCTAACCTCTTAAAGCAGATTGTAACAATAACAACAGTAATGACAAGTTCTCAATCTGCACAGTTCCCTTCATTAAAGGAGCACCCAGAGCTTCAAAAAACACTCATTAATGGAATCTGACAAAGCTTGGAAGATGGGAAGACTCGCCCATTCCCAGTTCTCTGGTGGCTAAGTGGAGACTGATTCCTAGAGGGGTGTCAGTCTCTCTCAAGCGGCTTGAAGGGGGTGGGGGAGTTGGGGGTCCTGGTCTACCATTATTCCCTGTGACTCCGGAGTCCAAAGTCCCGGGTTCTGCCCCCACCCCCAGTGTTCTATTAGCAAGTCGCTTTCCTTGTCTGGTCCTCAGTTTCCCTACCTGCAGAAGGAGGCGTTGGGCCAGAAGATCTCCAAGATCTCCTAAGTCAACCCTGACTTTGCCCCATCGTCTCACGGTTGGGGAGGAGGAGGGTTCTCTCACTTCAGGGTTCCGTAGGACTAGTTGTAGAACGGGGCGGGGCGGGGCGGGGCGGGGGGATTAGAGTGTTGCGGTGGCGGGAAGAGAATGTCTGCCAGGGTCCTGGACAAGTTGGTGCTTCACGAGCCCCATTTGATGGGGAACAGGTCTGGGGAGGCCAGGTGAGGCTCTAGGGCGAGCTCTGAGCCCCAAGTCCGCCTAGGGGATGCGGGGAAACACTGCGACTAACGCGGGGGCCTTCCCGGTGGGCAGTTAGGGGCATCCCTGGGTGCCGGAAGGCTGAGGGGAGGCGGGTATCACGGCGGGAGGGCTCTGCGCGGCTTTGGCCCGCGGGCAGCAGGTCAGGTGGCCGCGGGCAGAAGGCCTAAGGCTCAGACGTGTGCTTTGGGACAAGTCCCAGGCCGCCAGGTTCCCGGGGACTTGGCCCCTTCAGCCGGTAGTAGCTGGCCTTTCCTCTATAGGTGGGGGGCGGCGGGCAGGCTCCCCGCCTCCGAGGAGGAGGGGAGGAAGGAGGAGCCCGGCGGGGCGTGTCTCGCGAGGGAGCGCAGCGCGCCCGGCGCGGCCCCCTAGGAAGTGGATTTGGCCGCTCCGGATCCAACCCGGCTTCCAGGTTTTCTCCGGGCCCGGCCCAGCGTGCTCCCGCCTGTCTCCGGCCCCCCCGCCGCCCGCCCCCTTCCCTCTAGTGCCGCCCGCTTGGCCAAGTTTGCTGAGCGTCGCCGCGCACGCCGGCCAGTCAATCAGCGGCAGAGCTGAGAAGGGCACAGCCGCGCGGCCGAGGGCAGAGTGAGCCGAGCCGAGTCAAGCCAGGCGAGCGGACCAGCACCGGGCAGCCCGAGCAGCGCGCAGCGAGCGCCCGCCGCCACCGCCGCCCACACCCTCCGCGGTCCCCGCGGCGCCTGCCACCTTCCCCTCTTTCCTCGTGCCCCTGCCTCGCCGGCCGCCCGGCCGGCTTGTCCCGTTCGCTGCCCCGCGGTGCCCCGAGGTCACCGGCCCGCGCCTCTGCTCCGCTGGGCCGCGCGCCGCCTCCACGCCCTCCTCCTCCTTCTCCCCCAGCCAGGCGCCTGGCACCGAGGACCGTTGCCTGACGCGAGGCCCAGCTCCACTTTTCGCCCCGCTTCTCCTCCTGCTCTCCTCCTCCACCAACTCCAACTCCTTCGCCTTCTAGTTCCACTTGCGAGCCCCCCACTCCGCACCCGTCGGCCCGCTCCCGCAGCGCCGCTTCGCGTCCCATCCCGTCCCAAAGGTGGGAGCGCGTCCGCCCCGGCCCGCACTATGGCACGGTTCGGCTTGCCCGCGCTTCTCTGCACCCTGGCCGTGCTCAGCGCCGCACTGCTGGCTGCCGAGCTCAAGTCGAAAAGTTGCTCAGAAGTGCGACGTCTCTACGTGTCCAAAGGCTTCAACAAGAACGATGCCCCCCTCCACGAGATCAACGGTAGGTGGGAACCCCCGGGAGGCGGGTGTAGAGACAGGCACCCCGGGAAAGGGACCGCGGACCCCCTCCCCCGCTCCGCCACCCCCTGCTCCGGACGCAGGTAGCCGAGAGGGAGCAACGGGCAGTGGAGAGAGCAAGCAGAGCAAGCCAGCCCCAGCGCAGAGCGTTCCCCGCGGGCGCGCCCGGGGCGGCCCTCCAACCCCCCAGCACTGTGAGCGGAGGGGCGCCGCGGAGTTGCCTGGTGCCACTCTCGAGCTCTGCTTCCATCTCTCCGCCCCTTGCAGTCTTCGTGGTCCCAGGAAGCCCCTGAGGACTCTGGCCCTCAGAAGTGCGTGTCACCGGTTCCCTCGCCTTTTCCGGGTTGAACTTACTGGGCTCCCCGCTTTGTTGTGTGGGTGACGAGAGGCCGGGTGGGGGTAAAGGGGAACCTCTTAGAGCTTGCCAGATTCTGGGGGTCTCAAACGTGGAACTTGATGTTTCATTGATGTTCTTTTAACCACCCCCCCCTCCTACCGCTGACACGGATTAGGAGTTTTAGTAGCTGCAAAGGCTTTAGAAGTCGCCTTTAAAAAGCAAACGACTCCCCCATTCTCCACCCCTCCAAATCCTGACTTTTGGAAACTCTCCTGCTTTCCGGAAGATATTGGACTAGAAGGGTATTTTTCCCCCATTCTTTTTTCTCACCTCATTTTAAGGGTTAATTGCACATTCAATTACAGACCTTTGAAAGGACTGATTACAGGAAACCTGAATCTCGGTTTGGAGATGGTTATGCAAATGGAGACGGCTTAGCCAGTGAAAAAGTTCACCGGATTTCGGCGCTGGGGGGTGCGTGGGGTATTTGTGAAAACCCTTCTGGGAGCGCTGGGGAGGCGGCGTCCCAGGGGGCGCCCTCCGTCCCTCCTCGCGAGGCCCGCGGCGGTGCCCGGGCGGGTCCTCTGCGAGTCGCACTCACCAATTCACAGCGGGCCAACTGTTGCGCTAGCCCCGCGGGCCGCGCTGGGGCCGGCGACGGCGCAGGTAGCCCTTTCTCCCCGGGGATTCAGAAAGAATCACGCATCTGGTTGGTTGGTGGCCAGCTTAACCTAAAGGAGTAAAAGATTCTGAGCCCTGGAGGCTGAGCCTCCATTCCGAACCTTTCATGGAAGTGAGCAGAGCGCGCCTTTGCCTCACGGTGCTGGTCGCCGGGTGGGGCGGACAGGGAGCTGGTAGCCAGCAAAGGAAATACTTTAATTTCAGCTAGGCGCTTCCAACGGCTTAGGAAGACTTGGGGGGGGTCATTTTTTGGAAGAGATATTAATAACCTTGGAGATTAAGTGCAGTCATCAATTACATATAAATTACTAAGGTAATTGAGGGAAGTTGCTGGGCACTTTCGGAGTGTAACCGGCATCTGTCTAGAAATAGAATCGAAGAAATTGCTGGAGCAGTCCAGGCGCCCGCTGCACCTTGGCAGTTATCAAATAACTTGCACACTACTGATTAGAAACTGTTTGCCCTTCAGCTGCCTGTCTTTTTGGGAACTCAAGTATGTCCTCACAGTGGCACGATTTTATTGGTTGTAGAGTCCTGAAAAGCCCTCTTTCTTCCCCCTCTTCCTCCCGCCCCGCCAGAAAAAGTGAAGTGAACGAGCAGCCGCTGGAGCTTGGGGGCTCCACAGGTCAGACCTGGTGTCTTTGTGGCCTGCACAGTTTGGGCCTGGGCACAGCGGAGATGATTGGCGTGAAGGTTACAGTTGTCATTCCCACATTTTGAAGGGCTAGATGCAGCTATGCACTTAATGGGAATGTGACAAGGTTTCATCTTCTGCTCATGCAAACAATATGTGCCTTTGAGATGGGCTGGAGGCATTCAGGGAGTGGGTTGTGAAATCGCCCTCCCCACTTTCTCCAACTTAGCTGTGTAGTCTCGCAGTGGCAAGGCACCTTCCTCAGCCAGCATCTCAGGGAAGAGGAAGCTTGAAGGGTGCTCAGGGACTCAGTGCTAGGTGTTTCCTTTGATTGTCATCATTCCCAGAACACACCTGAGGTGTTTTTTTGCATAAATGTCTATCTGGACATTTCGCTCCTGGAAAGATGGGAGAGTTATTAGTGACCAGCAGCAGGAAATGGAAGCTAATGTGCTCACACCCAAGACATTTATTCTTTTTGTCTTGTCCTTCATCTCCCTCCCAGGGCTGCTGCTTTTATTTCCCCTTTTGAATGACCTACTGGACTGCATTCTCCTGAGGAACAAAGGAAGTGCCTTTTTAGCTGGAATCCTTGGAAGACCACCAAGGACTTTAGCTCATGCAGTGCAATTTCGCACCACTTTCAACAATAACAAAAATGCATGACTGAATGGCTCAAAAATGTGGAGTGTTAGAGGCATTCATTTGAGTCTAGGACACTGTCACAACACAGACAGACCCAAGTAAATACCTTTAGACGGCCAGTATAGAAACAGGCGTAATCTTTACCATCACCCTGGCCTCTCCAGATGCATACATTAGTCTTGTCTTCTTTGGGTTACACTCAGATGATTTTTGGTCATTTTAGGAGAGATAGTCAATATAGTGACTTGTATTCAGCCTAGGTCTGAATGAATTAATTGCCAGGCACTTTCCCTTGGGGGGAGGGTATATTTTTTTCGGTGCAAAACATCTGGGATTGTTTTCCAGGCAAAGGGTCGCAAATTCTGGGTGCCTAGTCCATTGGCTTAGCGCGAGTTTAAGGTTTTATTCCCAATAGCCTTGCACTTGCCTTCTAGAGGTTTGAACAGGCTTTAAGAATACTCCATGTTCTGAAAGAGTCTCAGTCTTTATGGATCATAATTAAGATGATCTGATATGCTCTCAAGGGTGTCAGGGAGTAAGTACATCATGCTGCCAGGGCTTCCCACTGAGGTCCTGCATTGCCTGTCTTTCTCCTTGACCCCTGTACTTTTCAGATAATGGAGAGCCCAGATGCCATGATCAAAAAAAAAAAATCTTTAACACAAAGGGTAAGTTTTTGTTCAGCTTTCAATGGCCATATATTTTTGAGCCCCTACTATGTGCAGTGTCCTGTGCTTGGCAACATGGAGGCAGCAAGAAGGGCAGGAGGGGCCTCTGCCACCAGGACTTTTCCTGGTAGTAGGCAGATAAGCCAGGCACACACATAATTGGAATACACCACAATGTGTGATGAGTACCATAAGAGTGACACAGATGAAAAGAAGGGAGTGTCCAGGCAGTTCCAAGTGAGAAGGGATTTGGGACTCTAATATTATAGAGTATTAACTAGGTAATGCTGGTTCACTAGTAAAAGCAAAAATACTAACAATAAGCTTAAAGATCTTATCATTTTCATTGTACCTCCCTCCATAAAGACAGAGGATAAAAGTATATGCAACAAATGGCATTTTATTACTAATCTGATCTCTGCTGAAATTGTTTTTAAGAGTGTGGCAGTTGATGAGGAAAGTTCTTTTTTTTTTTTTTTTTTGAGACAGAGTCTCACTCTTTTGCCCGGGCTAGAGTGAGTGCCGTGGCATCAGCCTAGCTCACAGCAACCTCAAACTCCTGGGCTCAAGCGATCCTACTGCCTCAGCCTCCCGAGTAGCTGGGACTACAGGCATGCGCCACCATGCCTGGCTAATTTTTTCTATATATTTTTAGTTGTCCGATTAATTTCTTTCTATTTTTAGTAGAGACAGGATCTCGCTCTTGCTCAGGCTGGTTTCGAACTCCTGAGCTCAAACAATCCGCCCGTCCCAGAGTGCTAGGATTACAGACAGGCGTGAGCCACCGCGCCGGGCCCGATAAGGAAAGTTCTTGAGCTTGTCCCTTTCACAGTGATATTAACCAATACCCAGGAGAACTTTGCTTGACCCCTGTACTTTTCAAATAATGGAGACTTGCAGTTTTGGAGTTTTTGTTTCTTGTTCTTATTTATGTTCCTGTGCAATGCACCTGTGAGCTTGCACCCACATCCACAAATGCACATGCACAGAGGATTCTGGGAATCACATAAACTATGTTAGGATTACATGGAAAAACGTGTGTGTGTGTGTTGGAGAGGTAGGAGTACTTGCCTTTCTAATACTGAGTTGATTATATATAAGACACACAGCATGTGTCTTCAAGATTTGTATTCCCCCTTCTCCACCTTAAGTAAACGGGTTGGATTTTGCAATGAACTTTGTGTTGGAATCATCAGTTTGGCTATGTGTTTCACTTGAGGAGAAGGCCTGATTAAGCCACAGGGCCCGCCACTGTAGAAATTGCCCCAAGTAGTAACAGGAACTATCCCCTGGACATGTTCCAAAAAGAGCTTGGTAAAAGTTCTGGATTATGTGGCTCAATCTCTAGTTAGAACATACAGATATAAAATGTTTGATTCAGCATAACTACTGTTTTCTTTTTTTGTTTGGTTCACATTGAGTTGCATGCAATTTCAGGATTAACTGGAGACTAGACTGAGAAATGAGAAAGCAAGTTTTTTGTTATCTGTGCAAGGGACACAACATTGGTATTAATCTGAGTCAGTTGGAAGTTAGTCTTTCTGGCTCCCCAATAACATTAACTGTTTTAGCACTGAGGTTTGTTCCCATTTAGATTAAAAAGTGCATTTTGGTCTCATGATCAGAGCTAGTAGCTATTGAGTACTTTGCCTGGGCCTGGCCCTATGTTAAGGACTTCACATGATTGTCTCATTTAAAGCCCACAACAACCATACAATATCAGAATTATCATTATCATCTCCATTTTACAGACAAGGAAACTGAGATTCAAAGGGATTAAGAAATATAGTCACAGTCTTACAGCTGTGGCAAGAGGTGGGATTTGAACTTAGGGTTTTTTTTTCCTTCACTCATCATTATGTTTAATCACATGGCTAAACACAGCTCCATTATTTTTTTAATTTCAAAATATTAAGGGAGTATAAATGTAGACTTACCATTTGATCTAGCAATCCCACTGCTGGGTATCTACCCAAAGAAAAATAAGTCATTTTATCAAAAAGACACCTGCATGTGAA